CATAACTAATCACTAACTGGGCTCTAACAATCCCAAATTCCATTTAGCTGGTCCCATCTAATATCCTCTAATAGGTTTATCTTGTATCAATTTGTCTAATTCTTTTTTTAAAACCATCTAAGCTAGCACCCATCACCACATATTGTAGCAATAAATTACGTAAGCTAATTATGCACTGAAGAAGTACTTCCTTTTGCCTGCCCTAAAACAATGTTGGGAGGAACAAAGATACAGTCTTGGCCGCATTTGAATGTTTTTGTTGTTGTTGTTCAGTCGCACAGTCGAGACCGACTCTTCCCGACCCCATGGACCAGATCACGCCAGGCCTTCCGGTGTTCTGCCGTCCTCTAAAGTTTGCTCAACTTTATGTTCATTGCATCTATGACACTGTCTAACCATCTCATCCTTTGCTGTCCCCGTCTTCTTTGACCTTCAATCTTTCCCAGCATCAGGGTCTTCTCCAGTGAGTGCTCCCTTCTCATTTGGTGGCCAAAGTATTTGAGCTTCAGTTTCATTATCTGGCCTTCCAGGGAACAGTCAGGGTTGATTTCTTTGAGGATTGACTGATTTGATCTTCTTGTAGTCCAAGGGACTCTCAAGAGTCTTCTCCAGTACCATAGTTCAAAAGAATCTATTCTTCGGCGCTCGGCCTTCCTTATAGTCCAACTCTCACAGCCATACATGACTACTGGGAATATCGTTGCTTTGACCATGCGGACTTTTGTTGGCAGGGTGATGTCTCTACTTTTTATCATGCTGTTTAGGTTCGCCATCGCTTTCCTCCCAAGGACCAGGTGTCTTTTAATTTCATGGCTGCTGTCACAGTCTGCGGTGATCTGGGATCCCAGGAACGTGAAGTCTGTCACTGCTTCCACGACTTCCCCTTCTATTTGCCAAGGAGTCATGGGGCCAGATGCCATGATCTTAGTTTTTTTATGTTGAGCTTCAAGCCCACTTTTGCGCTCTCCTCTTTTACTCTGAGCAAGAGGCTCTTTAGATCCTTTTCACTTTCAGCCATTAGAGTGGTATCATCTGCATATCTGAGGTTGTTGATCTTTTCCCCAGCAATCTTAATTCCCGCTTGTGATTCATCCAGGCCAGCATTTCGCATGATGTACTCTGCATATATATTAAATAAGCAAGGTGACAATATACATCCTTGTCGTACTCCTTTTCCTATGCTGAACCAATCAGTTGTTCCATATCCGGTTCTAACTGTTGCTTCTTGGCCCTTATACAGGTTTCTCAAGAGACATGTGAGGTGGTCAGGTACTCCCATCTCTTTAAGGACCTGCCATAGTTTGTTGTGATCCACACAGTCAAAGGCTTTAGCATAGTCAATGAAGCAGAAGTAGATCTTTTTCTGGTACTCTCTTGCTTTCTCCATAATCCAGCGAATGTTGGCAGTTTGATCTCTAGTTCCTCTACCTCATCGAAATCCAGCTTGTACTTCTTGCAGTTCTCTATCCACGTACTGTTGAAGCCTAGCTTGTAGGATCTTGAGCATGACCTTGCTAGCATGTGATATGAGTGCAATTGTGCAATAGTTTGAACATTCCTTGGCATTGCCCTTCTTTGGGATTGGAATGTATACTGACCTTTTCCAATCCTGTGGCCACTGTTGCGTTTTCCATATTTGCTGACAAATTGAGTGCAGCACTTTAACAGCATCATCTTTTAAGACTTTGAATAGCTCAGCTGGGATACCATCACCTCCACTAGCTTTGTTGTTAGTAATGCTTTCTAAGGCCCATTTAACTTCACATTGAAGGATGCCTGGCTCGAGGTCAGTGATTATACCGTCGTGGTTGTCAAGGACATCGAGGTCTTTCTTGTATAGTTCTTCTGTGTATTCTTGCCAACTTTTCCTAATCTCTCCTGCTTCTGTTAGGTCCCTACCGTTTTTATCCCTAATCATAACAGACTCTGTCCTATACTGGCAAGTATGAAACTGAAAAGGAAATTCCATCCCAAACACCCTAAGGCTTAACAGAGCCGCAAACACCAAAATTGTTTGGTATTCATGTTCAGCCCAGAGACATTCACCTTACAGAGACTCATAAGCATTTAACAACTACATTAGCTGAAACCAGGCTTGGAAAGACATCAGCTTTGAGCCTATTTTCAAGCAGAAATGGTGCACACTCTCATAAACAGCCACAAAACTGCACCTTCAAGGCCTTAGAAGTTGTCACTGATTCCTTCAAAGAAAAGCTCACTTCTACATCTCTTGAAAGACATAACTCCCTACACAGAGTAGCTAATATGACTGCCCCTAATAGCAAACATATGCTGCAGAAACCTACAAAAGCCATGCCCTTTTGATAAAACTGCAAAGTCAGAGAAACATTTCTTGACGTTGGTCCTGGAACTACAATAAAGCAGAAGCTTTAATATAGGAATTAGGAAATCAAATGGTAGGAATGGGGCCAAGGGATGATTAAGACTTTGTATAACAAGCACAACTTTGTGTGGTGGAAGATTATGTTTGGCAAATCCCCCCCTGCTTCCAAGGTCCACTTAGGAGAACAGGCAACTGTTGCTCACTATTCTCAATCCTACCTAATTGTTCCCATGTTTGAATTCCTACCTGTACCCCTAACATGCCAGTTTGGTGTAGTGGTTAAGTATGCGGACTCTAATCTGGGAAACTGGGTTTGATTCCCCACTCCTCCACTTGCAGGTGCTGGATGACCTTGGGCAAGCCATAGTTCTGTTAGAGCTGTTCTCTCAAGAACAGCTCTCGAAAGAGCTCTCTCTGCCCCACCTACCTCACAGGGTGTCTGTTGTGGGGAGGGGAAGGAGTTTGTAAGCCGCTCTGAGACTCCGAGTGAAGGGCGGAGTATAAATCCGATCTCTTCTTCTTTGAATGTTTCAGTCTCCACAGACTGATTAGCAACCATTTCTTATTACAGTTTATTTTTGATGCTGTCAGTGGTGTGCACCATGTGATTCTCTGATGTCTGCAGAGCTACCAAGGGCCACAGCACAAATGAACATTTAACATGAGGTTCAGTAGACCACTGAGGAAGCTTTTCACCCCCCAATATGGAATATGCAGCAGCTGTTTCTCTGTTAATAATGATGGGTTTATCTTTGAAAATAAAATGAGAAAAGGAAGGAGATGAGTATTTTTGGTTGCTGCTGCCGCAAAGACACTGGAGGCACACTGCTTTGGTTTCCTCCTCTGTAGCCTCCATGGAGATTATGTGTTTGTGGCATGGTGTGTGCATGGTGTAGGCCAGAGATGAATAAACGTAGGCCTCCCTACCCTCTGAGCTCCACACTATGTCATTCCCATACAGGTGACTGAAGTGGTTCAAAAGAAAACAAAAGGCTGACAAAGACAGGTGCTTTTGCTTGTCTGCCCTTGTCACAAGCTTCTCTATAAATGCTTCTAACACACACCTCTTCACAACATGCATAATGTACCATGGCTGCGGTCACACGGAACAGAAGCCACACAAGTGAGACGGAAAACAGGCGGAGTTTCCGGGTGCGATCTCACCAGCACATCTGGGAAGCGTAGCACTCCCATGGCTCAACCGAGGCTTCCAGCCGAAACTGCGTGGCAAAAAACTAGTACCTCGGAGGTACTAGTTTCGGGAAACTGCGGGGCAAGGGCGGGCGTCTGATCGCGTTTCCGGTGGCATCCGGCACCCGCCCATGTCCCCTTGCAAATAAGGTGGGGTTTTTTGTCCAAGTCTCTGTGGATGCGCACACGCACCCAACGGAGCATGCACATTTGTCGTGTACACACAAAAAAACCCAGTTTGCCGCGGTGCGTGCTTCTTCGTTGCGCACCGGCTTGTCCTGTGATCAGCACCTCTCCCTTGCCATGGAACCTCCACGGTACCTCCACAGGACCTCCACGGGAGGTCTGATCGCGTAACTGCGCAGTAGTTTGCCCCAGGGCAAACAGCCACGCTTCTCCCCCGCAGTTTCCTGCCCGTGTGACCGGGGCCCATGATTAGCAGAGCTGGGACTTAACTAGTGAAAATGCTGAGAAGAGAAGCATATCAGCTGTATGACAAGCACATGCATTAAATAGCACAGCCAGCAATATACTAATCCATGTAAAGAGAAATGACATTAGAAGTATATTCTATAGAACCCGGAACCACAGTTTCAGTTTTTTCTACATGAGCAGAAAGACTAGAATTATACTTTTCTTGCTGTTTTTAAATTCTAAGAATACCAGCCTCTTGAAGAAGTGAACATATTCCACATTACAGGTTCTAGAACTGGGATCAAATATCAATTCTGCATTGCCTGACTCTAGAATAATCATCTCTCCAAAGAACTGGTCCAAGGAGAATTCCAAGACAGAAAAAAGGTTAGTGTTAATGTACAACAATGCATTAGTATCCCTACACCCAACAGTAAAGCAGCTGGCCCCCACTCTAGTCACAAGGAAGCAAGATGAGGCCACCAACAGACAAGGTTAGGAGGGCTACTACATATTCTGAGAAAAGGAGCAGGAGAAAGAAACTCTGCATCTTCAAGTCCCTGAGAACTTATAAAAATTGTGGAGGGGGAAGGATTTCCAAACTGTTCCCCTCTTCCACAATTCCTTACAGGCCCCCCACCAGTCACCAACAAACTGCAGCCCAGCAATGCTGCTTTCTCATAAGAGTCTCCTGCTGGACTCTATGGCTCTTAAAGTGGTGCTTTCATGCTGGAAGTTGCAAATAAAAATACCCAACAGAAGACCAATTTTGGTTTAATACGTTTCTCATTTTGCTTGCAAATCACTATGCCTGTGCCTTGAGAGAGGTCTTGGCATCCCCAGAACTTTTCAGCTCTTGCTAGACTGTCATCCTACTATTAAACGCTATGGAGGGATAACAAACTGTGAACATGAATGTCTGTAATAGGAGCAAAGCAGTGCTTCTGCTGTAAGCTGTAATTGTTCAATGCAACTTCACCATTAATGTTAGGTCTCATAATCTGCTCTCAGAAAAGTCAACGTTTTAACCATCTACTCAAGAACATTCTACCTTTTCTGTTGTGTCTTCCTCCTAGAATTGAATCAGCAAAGAGAAGAGAACAGAAGAGAAAAAGAGTCATGAATGTGAAAACGAGAAGTGACAGCATCCCGTGCTGGAGTGTATTCATGCAAGGAACACCAAGAGCCTTTATTTTTTTGCTTCACACTTAGGACTTACCTATGTTTATTAATTTACCTTTGGCCATTGGTATAGAAAGATTACTTGGCCCTGTTCACGCCAGCAACACCTACACCAACAACATCAAGACTTCATACCACATTGCTTTGAACAGTCCTGGTCAGAAATTCTTCCTTCACTATGGTGTGGCATTTATATCTTGGTCAAGATAGCCTGGTCTTGCACACTCCCTTGCATCAATGAAGACCAGCAAGGCTTCACATAAGCCTATCAACCACCTCGTTCTTTAAAATGTATTGGGTTTTTGTGCAACTGTCCATTTTTATATAATGAATACAACTGCACAGTAGGTGGGAATTCTCAGTTTTCCACAACAAAGGGCAACCTACAACATGGCAGATAAACCAACCTCTTTCCCCCCACAACCCAGTGCAGGAAAATGATCACATTCACAAACTCCAGGGACAGTCTGTTACAGCATTCTCAGATTCTTTACTGAGTGTAATGCTTTGACCAATCACATTGGCAGCATTTTATATTTGGTATAAACAGGACTGAATCACACAGGGGCACAGTCATACTGCACATAGAGAAACAAAGCCAAAGAGAAACCAGGGTTTGTCTACAGGCTTTCAAAGGTGAAAGTTCAGTTACAAATGAAGTCAAGAGAAAGCAGAAGCTAGGGTGGCAGGGAATTAGACACTGTAGGCCATGTCTTGTTATTTGGTAGCTACTATAACAGAATTACAAAAGAAATTATTGCCCCTCTCCTAGCTATTTGACTTGGTTGTTCAGTGAAAGATGCAGTTACGACATTTCTTGCTGGAAATAATGTCTACCCTACTGAAAGAGTGGCCTTTTAAGAAGTGTTGCCATTCAGTCTAGATCCTTGCTGTTGAAGGAATTTTGTTGATTCATTTACCTACATGTGTATGTACTTTAATCTACTGATTGCATCATACAGCTGAACAAGGTCAGTTGGACCATACAATAAAGTGATTGAATGAGTGGAAAGAAAAAGAAGCTTTAGTTCCAAAGGTGAAACATCAGGAGTGGGAGGGAAAGACAGTTCTATGAATGATATGGCAGGTCTGTAACATCATGCCAAGAGAAGAGAATTTTATGACACATCTTCATCCAACCCAAAATCTAGGGGAGCAGTAAACTTCCCCTCAACAGCTATATTAAAATAATCATCTTACCAAGTGGTCATGTGTACCCACTGTTAAATTATCAGCTGCAAAAAGCTTATCTATGTCTGCACTGGCATTGCTTCCCTATGAACCTCCTGGTAGCACATGCATACGTATCAAGGAAAGTCAACACAGCAGCCAGGTTCTAGAACACATGCTCTGGTGGGACAAACAAAAGGAGCCAGTCTCATGCACAGTTAGGGTTCAGATTGTCAATTAAAGTTTAGAGCAGACTTCTGTTCAGGAGGATAATTCAACAGGGTGCAATTTCTCAAATGAAAACTAAGCCCCTGAGCTGCAAGCAAGTTGACAAAGCTAGTTGCACCCACCTCTCCAGCGGAAGAATAGTTCTGGCTAAGATGATTTTCCTCTGAGTAGGAATCTTGCTGAGCTCGTCGGCCCATCTTCACCTGCACAGAATGGAAAAGAGAACTTCAGAATTATACATAATGGTGGAGGCAATGGTATGGTAGGGATGATCTAATTCTGACAAAGGAATTCACATGAGTTTCTGAAGCAATTCACGCATGGCTCTGACAGCCATGTTATCAGAAGTGAATGACAGCCTTATTCTCTTCCCTAGAATTTAGGAGGCAGCAACAACAGATTGGGAAGGATGAAGTGAATATCTGGCACTAGGTGCGTGTGCAGGAGGGGGGGAGAGATTGCAAGGAAGAAACATATTAATAGCAGAGGAAGTAGCTACAAGGGCATCTGAGGGTGATAGGGAAAAACAGGCAGGGAGCTTAGATGGAGAAGCATCTGGCAGTAGGGCTGCTGGGAAGGAACAAGAAATTATGGAGCCCCCTATGACTAGCCACCTCAGGAGTATTTTATTAAGTCTGCAAGTGTAAATAGTTTTTAAAATAAATATAATGAAGGAATAAATATTTACCTAGGGTATAAAAATAATCCAGGAAGAATCTTATAATCATTATTAGCAAGTTAGCACAACTTGTAATACACCAGCCAAACACAGCCACCAGTTTTTGTGGTCCCAAGTTGGCAATAAAACCAGGAAATAGGTCCAATTCCATGGTGGTGGTGGGGGATTCATCCTGCTGGCCTGTAAATTGTGCACGCCCAAATAATATGCCTCAAATTAAAATATACAGAATACAAGGCTGGTTAAAGAGGCCAATAAGGATAGTACATCAAGAGCTCCAGTACAAAATTCACAGCATTGGGCTTTGCTGAGGGAAAAGGTCATTTCACCATCTGCATCTCCCCCATGCTTTTATTATGACCTTTTAACACACTATGCACTTACAACCATACTGGACCTCCACACCCAACTTCTCCCTAATAGCTCTGAGACACCTTTCATCTGAGCCCTGCAGAAGCCTTTGCAAGGTGCAGCTCAGCAGAGTAAGCCTCAAAGCGCTCAACCACAAGGGCGGAAACCAAGGCAATTCATGAAACTGGGGTGATCCACATTCCAACACCGCAGATGCATAAGGCACAGGTACAGCACACGGCTCCCAATATTTCATCAGAAAGCAATACAAGTATTCCACAAAGTCATTTCCCAAGTCCCAAGCTCATGAAGGGCACGTCTATCAGTGGCTACTAGCCACGGTGACTAAAGAGAACCTCCACATTCAGAGGCAGTGAACCTCTAAATAACAGTGGCAAGGGCAACACCAGGGGAAAGCCTCGGCCTCTATGCCCTGTTGTTGGAGCTCCAGAGGAACTGGTTGGCTTGGCCACCATGCGAGGCAGGATGCTGGACTAGATGGACTCTTAACTCTTCATCAACTTTCTGCTCAAGATGGGAGCTTTAGAGAGAATCAAAAGGGCTGAGCCTCGCGCTCCTCAAAGGGTTCCTGAACCTTTCAGGGCGCCTTCAAAATCAAATTGGGGCTTTCCTCGTCACAGCCCGGTAAGGGCCGGGAGACGCTGCCGCTGGGCAGGAGCCCTCTCAGGCGGCGGCGGCGGCGGCGGCGGCGGCGGCGGCGGGGAGGGTCGGGTCGATCCACGCCTTCCGCATCCCTTCCGAGCAGATCAGAGGCACCTTCCAAGCCGGGGCTTCCCACCACAAGAATGCTTAGCTCACAGTTACGAAACTTGCTCGGCGGGGCCCCAAAAACGAGGACACGTTTGCCATGACGAGGTATAGCCCAGGGGAAAGATGGGCTGCCCGGGGGGGCGGGGGCTGTTAGCGGAACGGAGAAAATACGTCGGTGGGCCGTTGAAGTGCAACAGGGCCCTGCATCGCCATGGCGACGCGGCCTTCGCTGGCGGCTGTGCAGCCCAAGCGTCTGCGCCCGAACAGCACCGCTCTTACCGCGCTTCCCCCCTTCCGCGGCTCATCGTCCATCCCGCAGGCCTAGCGACATCCAGGATGGGGCGGGTGTTCGTGAGAACCGCGACTTACTTCCGGACTGGAGCCCGCGCGTCCTTAGCAACCCTTAAAGGGAGCGCTGCCGGCTTCAGAAGACCCATTCACGAAGGGTCGTTCCCGGGAAGGAAGCCGTGGAGCGTGAGAGGCAGCCGCTGGAGAATATGCTGAGGGTCTTCTTTTATCAGAATACAACAATATGAAACAAAAAGGCAGCGCAAGGCCTACCAAGACCCTTCATGGCCCATTTCCAAGGTCCAGTTATCCAGGGCCGTAGGTAAAACTAGGTCTGGAGCTGCTTTAGATTTTGATCCTGGAACTATAATAAAACATGGAATAGTTTTTTGAATATTACAAGGGGAGTGAGGGGAGTTATCTTTACTTTAAGGCTCATCCTATGTCACCCTTCTCCATTTTCTCTTAATCCAGGAACAGACCTAGGGCCTCCTCATCTAGCCCAACAACTTAATAACACTTAGCATTTATATAGCAGCACCATCAATGTTCAAAATGTTTCACATGTGTAATCTTCCAGTAATCCTCACAACAACCCTGAAAGGTAGACTAGTATTATTCCAGTACTGCAGCTGAGGTAAGAGGCTTGCCTAAGGCCATCTAATGAGTCCATGAATCCCCAGGTCACTTCTTCACTTCACCACATCAGATTCCAGTCACAGAAGTCCAGGGCTGTATACAGACATTGCTGTATATTGCACTATTGTTAAGCTACAGTAATCATTTGCAAGTGGTTTGGCTTGTCTACACAGGGAACATCCAGTTTTGAATGACTGCGATTGTACATAGTGTTCAGCAATGTGTGGATGTAGCCCTGGTCACAGCAATCTAACACTGGTTGATGAGATGTGCTTTAAAATAAACCAGATTTGACAAGCTGCAAACCCTGTATGGGCCTTCCTCACACCTAGGGAGTTATCCCTTCAGTAGACCAATTCACGAAGGGCCGTTCCCGGGAAGGAAGCAGTGGAGCGTAAGAGGAGGTGTCTCAGACCTATTAGGGAGAAGTTGGGTGTGGAGGTCCAGTATGGTTGTAAGTGCAGAGTGTGTTAAAAGGACATAATAAAAGCATGGGGGAGATGCAAATGGTGAAATGACCTTTTCCCTCAATTTTTTACTGGAGCTCTTGATGTACTATCCGGAGGGGGGAGATCGAGCGCGCGGGGGGGAAGACGGGACAGGAACCGACAGGATGGGGACAATGCTGGTGGAGGATGAGGCGTCAGGCCTTGCCATGGGTTCCGGGGAAAGGGGGCCAGGGGAGAAGGCTCACCTGCAGGTGCTTCTCCTGTGGAGTGTCTCCCCCCCCCGCGAGTATCGGAGCCAGGGGGGAGGCCAGAGGGGGGAGGGCGAGCAGGGGGGGGGGGG